TTACCTTTTAAAAATCCACTGAAGTGCATGTTCTTCATATTCTTTAACTGCGCACTGCCGCTTGTGTTGATGCTCTGGTTGTAAGAGGAACAGGAACAGAATGTGATGGGGATGGAAGCTCTCTAGTTGCTGTTCGCTTCTGCTGGAAACTGGAGCCTTACATCTTATTGTCAGCATTTAGCTGCGAGATTTGGGGTTTCTTACTGAAGTGGCGAAGATGAAGCCTAGTTCACTGACAAGGAATTTGGGGGCAGTGTTCCCATTGGTTCCCGCAAATGATGAATAAAAGGGACAGACCAATCAGGGCTCGATCTTGGTGACCAGGAAGGAAAATCGAAGCCTTCTTTGGACTGATGCTAAATCTGTCTCTGGCTGTACAACGGAGGTGGGTGGTGGGGCTCATATGATTGGATTCTCCATGCAAAACCCCCTTTCCCTAGAAATCCAGCTGTCAAATAGATGCGTTGTACCTTAGCATTTTCTTGACAGGCCAGCTTTCTATATGCAGGGACTCTTCTACCGAGTATTCCCGCATCCGGGAATCAGCAGCAGTCCTAAGACACAAGTCAAATAAATCAGCTCTTGGCCGGTGTGCACCGTTTCTCTGGATAGGTGCGGAAACGGTTGACATCCAAGACAGGCAGACCTGGATATGAACGGGGCCCCAACTGGGCCTTGCTAACAATGGCTGACCTCTGATTGTCAAAGACCGAATGTCCAGTTGTGCCGTTTTCCAGTGACCCAGCTGCCTCTATAGCCTCGCGCCCATTAATAGTTTCCCTTTAGCAAAGACAGACTGAATTGTCCGTGGCTACCTCAGCTTTGCGCTCGCTGCAAAGGTGTTGGTGCGGGCAGACTGTTAGGTCACTGCGGAGACGGGCGTCGCTGTACACAGCCCAAGAAAGGTTGGTGCGTGTGTTCAGCACAACACAGCGAAATGGCAGCACAGCCGGTGGGCCGTCTGGCATTGAAGAGAGGGAATATAGATCACCTACCCAGGTGGCATTTAATGACCTGAGTGCCTTTAAATAATTGACTGAGGAGCCCTGGCTCCCCAAATGTCAGACTGGCCTCACCCCCCCCCTCCATGCCTTATTGACTGTAACTCTCAAAGTGCACCTCTCACAATAGCTTAAAGGGCGAACAGAGCCAGGATGATACGGCGGCGAGGTAAATCAACACGGTAAACAGAGGAAGATCAAGACAAAAAACCGTGCGGCGGTCCGTTGCTCGGCTTTTTACAGTGTGCTCTGGGGCGGTACAATTCGGCTAACTGCTGTGACCCAGTCTGGCTTTCCTGCACAGCATTGCTCAGTTGAAACAGCAACATTTACGCAAGCAAATGTTGTTGCTGTTGTTGTTTCCTTGAATTCTGGGGTGCAGTGTGTGAATGTTCTAGATCAGGGGTCTCTAGCCTTTTTGAGTCTGCGGGCACCTTTGGAATTCTGACACGGCGTGGTGGGTACAGCCACAAAATGGCTGCTTCAGGAGGCAGGGCCAGCTACAAGATGGCTGCCGCAGCTTACCTTCAGGCACAGAGTGAAGACCCTTGCACTGTGGTGGCAGGGAGGGCTTCTAATGTCCTGGCCCCACTGGTGGACCTCCTGATGGCACTGGTACTTCTGGCCACTGTGTGATACAGAGTGTTGGACTGGATGGGCCTTTTGCCTGATCCAACATTGGCGTCTCTTATGTTCTTATGTTCAAAGCAATATTTTAAAAATCTGCACAGCCAGTCAGAAGTCTTGCTGGGCAAAAGTCCCCCCTCGCCCCACCCACTTTCTAGAAACACTTGGTGGGCAGATTGGGTAGATTCGTACAGGAGAGGCAGCCCTTAAGGTATGTTGGCCTCAGGCCATAAAGGACTTAAAAGGTCAATAGCATCGCCTTGAATTGATCCCGGAAGCACATTGAAAGCCAGTGTGGATGGAACAAAACTGGAGTGATATGGTCAAAAGCTGTCCCCACCACCCTGGTTAGGTGACTTCCTTTGACCAATAGATGGATATCATGCACATTTCTTTGATCTTATCAAAACATGTATAGGATAGGATAACTCTCTCTCTGTTTGTCTGTCCATCTAGTAAAGGGTGGGGTATTGGGAGGGGATATTGTTATTTAGATCCTCTAACTTTAATTTGGGTTTTTCTTACATCCTGTCATAGTTCATAGCTCAAAGTGATTTAGAGATTAAGATAGATTTGGGTAGGATCAGGGCTATTTTGGGGCAGGAACGCACAGGAACGGAGTTCCGGCTAGCTCCCGAGTTGGCCACACCCACCAGGAACTCATTAGGATTGGCTACATTAGGGGGTGTGGCCTAACATGCAAAGGAGTTCCTGCTACAAAAAAAGCCCTGGGTTTTGACAACAAACCAGGTAAACAGAATAAGAAGCAAAAGGTGGGTGTGGCTGGATGACCACACTTCTGGTAACATGGAGGTGCGGCCTAATGTGCTAATGAGCTGTGCTGTCAGGGGTGTGGCCTAATAGGCTAATGAGTTTCTGCTGTTGGGTGTGGCCTATTATGCTAACGAGTTCCTGCTGGGCTTTTTCTACAAAAAGAGCCCTGGTAGGATAGCAAACTATGAACAAACCACAGGTTGTTTGTAACCATAGAGGCCCAGTCCTCAAACAGACATGGACAATTTAAAGTCCAGGGGTTGGATCTTGTGACTCCCTTCTGCTATGGCTCCCTCCAACTGGGAAAAACTTTCCTCAGCAAAGAGAAGCTTTTCTTCACCAGAAGAAACCTTTCTCCGTGAAAAAAAGAAAAGGTTGTTCTTCATTGGAGGAAGACCACCCGGCTACCCACCTGAATTTAGCAGAGGAGAGTATAGGATCTAACCTCTATTTAAGAGCTGAAGTTATAATGTTTGTATATAGCGCTCCAACCACTTCGGTGTGTTTGATTTTTTTGCAGGAGAAAATTCTTTTAAAAATCCAGAAGTAGACATCCTTATATGTGGCTAATACTGCACATTTTAATAAACTTCGTTTGAACTCTGTTAGGGGAGAACACATGTCATTAAGCCGATATGCTAAGAAAAGTTAAACTGTTCACGTAACCTTCCTTTCAAAAACACAGAAGATTTACCTCTCTTAACTGGGATCTGTTAATCCTGCCAATATGTTTTACCAACAGGGGTTGTCTTTAATTTCCACACACACCCCCCCGCATCTATAGCCCTTTTTGTTCAAACAGCTTCTACTGAAAGCAGTTACACACATCAAACGGGTGTTTAGCGACTGTCAACCAAAATCACTTTCAGACTTTAGTGTCTGCTCTGTTTAGCCTGGGGGGAGGAGGAAGGCAAGCGGGGAGGGGAGGGGAAGTGAGAATATTCTCAGGTGAGAACTTAATTAGGGTGGGATTTTTATTTTCCTTGGTCAGTGTTGCTGCACCGTCTACAGGTGTCTCTTTGTTTCCTGCGTCGCAGTTGAAATAAAGGTAATCAGGACAACATTCTTTTGCGGACCCAGGTGACGATTGTTGGAGTTTTCAAGTTGCTACACTTCAGTCATTACAGAGTTAAGTGTTGTTTGTCAGGAAACAGGATGTTGTGTTACATACTGTATTCTACGGCGGGAAAGTTTGAGGGAGTTGCTTAATCTAATGAAGTGACCTGTAGCCTTTGTATTGGTCAGCTAACCACTTGTTTGTGGAAATGCTTTGATCTAGCATTAATGTATTCACTAGGTTTTATGGCCCTTTGTGTGAAGCACACAGGAAGCTCCTCTCTTGAAGCCGCAGGGTAGATAGAAAGATGTAGCCGTTAGCAAGTATTGCTGAAAGTAACTGTAAGCATGTAATCTTGTGTTTTATTTCTTTTTATCCAGAGTACCCTACCCATGATTTGTTTTGTAGTAAATATATTTTTCTTTAACTAATGTGACTCTTGTGTTTGCAAAACGACCATCGATCTCGAATCTCAGAATCCCTAACAACGATGGAAACGGGACTCGTGCCTGCATGTAAAATTCGAGCACAGTCACCGGAATATGTATCCAGTTGACCAAAACTGCAGATTACTTGAAAGGAGGAGAGAAGGGAGTTGGGCGCGATGGGATGGGGATGAAAGGGGTACTGCGAGAGAGATTGATGCTTGGAGATCGGCCCGCAAGCTATGAAGCTTTCATGGCTGTTCTCGGACGACAGTCATGACATCACAAAAGGGTTCATTTTAGAAAGGTTTTGCAACTCGGCCCTTCCCTCACAGCTCATTTGTGCCCAAACTACCCATGCTGACTCCCTGGGCTGGCAAAATGAATAAGGTGTTTTACTTTACTTTACTTTACTTTACAGTTCGATTTAAATACCGCCCTTGACCCCTAGGGGGTCTCAGAGCGGTTTACAGGTATACTACTTATGTAGTTGTTATCCTAACCTAGGGCCACAAACTCGAGGGGGAGGGGCTGCCTACCGACACCCAAGCGGCGCGTTCTCTCCTCTTTTTGCTGATTTCCTGGGCGGGCTTCGGATGCTGTTCCCGGTGCCTCAGGCTGGCCGGCGACTACCTCCGGCGGTGTTGGCGCACCACAGGTGTTTACTCCCTCTCGGCTATCATAGGCAAAGCTGCTGCTGGCTGGATCCAAAGTTAATGTAGCCATTTTAAAATTGCCAGGAGGGCCTGATTCTAATTGGGCCTACACGTGGTGGCAGCAGGCGATCTTGTTTCCCTACGCCACACCTTTTAAAGTACCGAAACAGCCATAGAAAGTGGGGGGGGGAGGCTGTTTCGATACTTTAAAACATGCAGAGCGCAGGAAAAAAGATTGCCTGTTGCTGCTACGCTGCAGGCCAGGTCAGGATCGGGTCCTTGTGGCAATTTTAAAGTGGCTAAATTTGCTCTTAAATTGGCATTGGTAGCTAAGGGTTATCCCTTTGGCCACCATCATGTCTAGGTTGGTCCTCTGTTCCCTGTTCTTGGCCTACAGACTCCATCTTTTGCTATCAGATTTTTACAAATTTCCCCCCCATTGTCTTTTGTATTTTTGTAGGTTGAATTTGAGTGGCTGCGGCAATTCTGGTTCCAGGGTAAACGTTACAGGAAGTGTACCGAGTGGTGGCACAAGCCAATGGATTCCCTGGAAGAATTTTGGAGAAAAATGGAGCTCATGGTAAGTGCCGGTAACTGGGCAGAAAACTGTGGCACTACATTTCCTGTCATTTTTGATGCATCTGTTACATGGCATCGACGAATTTAACTTATACTACTTGCAAGTCCCTATTTAACGAGTTCAGCATCATGTTGGATATTACATTGGTTGTTGTGGAGGTTCATTTGTTGTTGTTCAGTCACACAGTCGAGTCCGACTCTTCGCGACCCCATGGACAAGATCACACCAGGCCCTCCTGTCTTCCACCGTCCTCTGAAGTTGGCTCAATTTCATGTTCGTTGCGTCTATGACACTGTCTAACCATCTCATCCTTTGCCGTCCCCGTCTTCTTTGACCTTCAGTCTTTCCCAGCATCAAGGTCTTCTCCAGTGAGTGCTCCCTTCTCATTGGGTGGCCAAAGTATTTGAACTTCAGTTTCATTATCTGGCCTTCCAGGGAACAGTCAGGGTTGATTTCTTTTAGGATTGACTGATTTGATCTCCTTGCAGTCCAAGGGACTCTCAAGAGTCTTCTCCAGCACCATAGTTCAAAGGAATCTATTCTTCGGCGCTCGGCCTTCCTTATAGTCCAACTCTCGCAGCCATACATGACTACTGGGAATACCATTGCTTTGACCATGCGGACTTTTGTTGGCAGGGTGATGTCTCTACTTTTTATCATGCTAGCATAGGAATATTTCCACCTTCATTCAAAACAGATTTGGGCCTCAGTTAATGAAGGTTAGTTGGGGAAAGTCACTTTAAAAAAAACCAACTGCTGCTATTTAAGATACCTAAAATACAGTTGGCAACAGGTCCTGGTCCATATCTTCCCAGAACATTTGTCTCCCTAGTGTGAAATCAGATGTTACACTGGGAGATTCATGAATGGATCTTCCTCGGGTTTTAAAAAGGAAAATAGGAAGCAGGCAGGGCTTCTGAATTCTGAATCAAGGCCTCGAACTTCTGCTCTTTAAAAAATTAAATAAAGACCTGAGACACTCCAATCATAGATCTCGCAGCACCATGTCTCGTTGCCTTAGGTACCAGTTCTGAGGTGAGACATATGATAACAGGAGTCGCAACAAAGTTCCTTCCCTGAGCATTGGTTCTTTTTCCTCCTTGCTTTGAGAATGAAGCAGTGATGCAAACCTCTAAGTCCCCTTTGGGGAGAAAGGTACGATATAAACGAATGAGTAAATACGTTTATACACAATCGTTGCAAAACTAACGTTAAATCAGGTTAAATAGGAAAATTTGGAGTGGGGAAACGAGAGAATGAATAGCGGCGTGATCAGTTCAGCCAAGGCAGAAACAAAACAAAAAAGTACTTGGGGACTTCCATGCTGGAAAAGTAAAACTATGAAATGTGGTTGTCCTGGTCTCTGACTTGAATTCCGGCACGCGCATGCAAAAATCATCCCTTGTCTGAAAGGTTTCAGTAGCAAGTCTCCTCTTCCCTTTTGATTTGGTCGCCTTTTCTGTCGCGATCTTCCTCCGTGCGGCTGTGGCCCTGTGCGAGGCCAAAGCAAGACTGTTTCCTTGTTACTTTATCTCCGCAGCATGTCGGGAACATGGAAAACCTGCAAACCCGGGGGATTCTCCGAGACTAGGCCGTCTGCAATTGGTGTGACATCTCCATGTGTCTCTAATTAGATACATGGTGCTGTTGTCAGTGTATCTCCTTTCAGTGGGACTTGGGGTGATATTTATCAGTAAGCTTGGAATTTTTTCGGGGGGGGCAGAAGCTGCTTGTAATTGAAAATCTTCAAGAACCGCTTTAATGTTTATAACTTCTAACACATTAACCACAAAACGAGCAAGAATCCAGTAGCACCTTACAGATGAACAAAAATTTGTGGCAGGGTGTGAGCTTTCGCGAGTCGCTGCAAATGAAAAGAATCCGAAGAAGTGAGCAGTGACTCACAAAAGCTCACACCCTGCCACAAATTTTTGTTCCTCTTTAAGGCGCTACTGGACTCTTGCTCTTTCTACTACATTAATCACAATTAATTTCAGCTATGGAGAGAGAGAGAGAGGACAATGTTAATTGGCAACGTCTGCTGATTTGGTTGGGTCGCTAAGTAAATTTGGGTCTTTATTATAGTTGGGCTTCAAAATCCCCTTTTTCAGGTTGGCTGTTTTTGCTTCATACCTGGCCCTGCGTCCCAAACTCACCTTTTTTTAAAAAAAAGTAAAAGACTCTCTGGCAGCAGGGGGCGCTGTTGGGCTGCTGTTTTTCCTGCTAGATTTCTGCCATTCCAATCCAGGAAAAATGTAATGCTGCTACATGACTGTATAAGTATCGAAAAACGTACCCCTGTTTCTTCTAGTTAGCCATAATCTCTAAGATTCCATAATACAGGAAATCAATTGTGGGTTAACAAATTCAACAGCCATTTAACATAAAAAGTGTAGCATGTAGGGGCAGATCTGGTTTCTGTGGAATTTTTAGCTTTAAAAATTGTCTTTACGTTTAGTGCATTTGATTAATATAAACATAAAGGACTATTTTTTTAAATGTAGATTTTTTTTTAAAAAAAACAACGCATTAATTTGATTCCTTTCCCCCTCCTCTGTTCTAGCTTGTTTCCCTCACAGAAAAAAGAGTGAATTCCCCCATTAAGAGAGAGCGTGTGCATCTTAATTTGAGTTTAAAGAGCTGAACAACCTCTTTTGTATGTTTGACATCTGTGTATACTTGGCTGTTAGTCCCTGTTTTCCCGTATTTTTCTTCATTTATAGATCTGTAAATTAATCATTGGGAGTGAATTCATTTATAATGCATCTTGTTCTCTGAACGTTCCAACACAAAATCATATTTCACAAAAGTTTACCTTAGTATATCTGTACCACTCAGATGTCTTAATTTTTTTTTCATATTACAGTAAGTGTGATAGATCTCTCTCTGTCTTTTTTTTTTTTATCCTAATGTTTATTCTTGGCATTTCTTTC